GATGTTGTTGTTGTTGCCATCGTCGTTGTCGTTGTCGTTGTCGTTGTCGTTGTCGTTGTCGCTGTCGCTGTTGTTGTTGTTGTTGTTGTTGTTGTTGTTGTTGTTGTTGTTGTTGTTTGTTGTTGTTGTTGCTGTTGCTGTTGCTGTTGCTGTTGCTGTTGCTGTTGTAGCCCTTTTCTCCTCCAAGTTTCGGGTTCATAAATGATTTAAGGTCTTTCTCCTCCAAGTGTCGGGTTCACAAGGGATTTAAGGCTTAGGGTGTGGGGCTTAGGGTTTTCGGATTTAGAGGGTTTAGGTGCTATCACTACATAGTTTCTGCAGGGGTCACTTTCGAAAGTTGCCAGCCCCGTTCCAGCCCGGCCCAGCCCAGTGCAGACCCCTAAGTCCTAAACCCTAACCCGTGACCCAAAACCCTATAAGCCCTAAACCCAGCACAAGCACAAGCCCCAACCCAGCACGGATGACCTACTCTGCAGGGTTGTCCCGTAATGTAGGGGCCTTCATGATTAGACTAGGGTTTGGGGGGGTTCCTTGATACTTAGTTCTCCAATACCCAACCTTGAAGCGTTTGGAGTTCTTCTAATTTAGTAGTAGTCGGAAAGTTTAACATTTATTACCTGGCTTATTATTGGGAACGTAAGATTATGATTTTGGTATAATAGACCCCAAAAACGCTATTCTAGTTGTTAAGGGCCCTACATTATGCAGCTGGACTGCCAGGTGGTGCTTGGTGTTTGTGCTGTAATCTTTTTCTGAGGCCCTAAAGCCCAAATGTGGAATGTCGCGGTCTGGCATTGCGGTGTAGGGTTTAGGGTTTACCCTAAACTGTCCTAAACCCTGAACCCTAAGTTTACGGCCGTTCTTCTGAGCTTCCTTGTGTCTCGGATTTCGCGACATTGTCGGACATCAAGTTGAACCCAAAACGCCGCAAGTCTCGAAACCCTAGATCCCACAACCCTGAGCCCAAGCCTAAATCCAAGAACCTTTACAGAGCCCGAAGCCATAGAAACCTAAAACTCCGGGAGTGAGTAGAGATGTCCCCCTAAACCCTAAACCCTAAACCCTAAACTCTAAACCCTAAACCCTAAACCGTAAACCCTCAACCCTAAACCCTAAACCCACCAAAGCGGATGACATCTTCTATTCCTTTTGAACCCGAGAGCAAGCGCGCTTGGCGTGACCGCATGGGGTCTCAAAGCTTACTTAGGTGCACTACAGTAGTTTAGGGTTTGGGGTTTAGGGGTAGTACTTGGAAATAGAGCTACAAAGAGGGACCATCAAACTTGACAAGTCCTGTCCTAACCATAAAGCTAGGTACCTTAGAAAATGGGTCGGGTATGACCCTTTCCCTAAGGGTCCATGTACCCAAATAGTAAATACATTGGCCCTAAAGTACCTATATAGGGACTACATTAAGGCCAAAGTATATACTATTTGGGTACATGGACCCTTAGGGTTTGGGTACTGCAAAGTGGCCCGATAGTTATTTGGTTGGTTTGCGCGAGGCCAGGAGTCTTCTACTACGTCAACGTTGCAGCTGGCTCAGATGTGGGGGTTTCCAAAAATAGGGGACCCCAATATAGTACCCCATATAGTAGGATATTTATTATAAGGACCCCAAAACAGGGTACCCTAATTTTCAGAAACCCCCATGTCGCTGCGAATCTGGGGCTCAGGGGCTCAAATGTGGGTAGTTCTCTAAATTAGGGTCCCTGTTTAAGTCACAAAAATAGTACGGCACCCTTATAAACAGGACCCTAAAGGGGACTCTAATTTAGAGAACTACCCATGTAGCTGCGTCCGGTTGTCACTAAACCCAAAGCTATACACCACTGCATCTAGTTTGCGGAAGGGGGCGGAGATGTCTGCGAGGACAGCTAGGCTGTAGTGGCACTGCAACGCCGACACCGATCGCCACTTGAAAGCAGACATGTCCATACACCCTGAGCCGCAAACCCTAAGGCCCTGACGGTATCGACGACATAGATATTCAGTCTTCAGGTAAACTTGGGATGATGTCGTCCTGCTTCTGACTAGGCCATACATGAACAGTTCTCAGTGTGGGATTCCGGTTTGAGATATGTTGTTTCTCTCGTTCATTTGTTTGGGAATTGGGGGTTCCACTGTATAATTCTGGGGCTTGGGGTTCAAGACTTGCAACTGACTGGTTGAGGGCCCAGGTGGCATAAGTAGTGCTTGCGCCAAGAACATTCTGACGACGTGTGTGTTCCACAAAACCGACACATTACAGCAGCCAGCTCAACTTCATACCCCTCAGCCTCATTCCGACATTAGCTGTTTACATACCACATACGACTCCCCCGAGTGGCACGTTGTCTTAGCTTGAAGCCCTACAACCCCTCGGCCCAGTAAATGGTTACAAGCGCTGAACCCTTTCTGTTTTGAAAATAGTTGTGGGCCGCCCTCATATGCAACGGTTTGGACACCCTTAGCCCTGACCTGGCTCTAGGGGCCGGACCCTGCCAAGGATAGGGACCAGAAAGCTCTCAGACGATCTAAGGTGTCAGGTATCAGGTGTTGATATAGACTCCAACAAACAAAGGGAGACAAGCTGCATGGCAGTTTCACTGCCCTTATGTTTCAGACCTTACAACCCAGCACCCTTCACCCTTACAGGGTTGGCCGGACACTCCAGCCGTCAGATTGCTATAGGGTTGCCTTTTCAGTCCCTGAAGCATCGAACTCTCGCACTGTTGCTGCTGCTGCTGCTGCTGCTGCTGCTGCTGCTGCTGCTGCTGCTGCTGCTGCACGACTGATGACGATGCAGCACAAAGAAGATGAGGAAGTGGAGCACTTTGTCTTTCATCATGGTGGTGACTGCGATGATGTGTGGTGGCGAAACTGTTTGAGCTTCACTGGCATGTGCATGGCGTTGCTGTGGATCCAGGTGCAGGGATCTGTCTGAATGCCTAACCCCCTAGCTCGAGTGCTTATGCAGCGTGCAGAGACCTGCTTGTTTTGGTAGGTCACCGGAGAGCAGTCGTTCAAGCTACCTGGCGAGGGGAAAGCTGCGCAAGAGGACCGAACGACGGATTGAGCTGCAAAGTGAGTCTATCGCCATGACGATGATGGCTACGATCACGTTGCTGGCAACCCCTATGCTACAGCTTGTGCTGCTGCATTGCCTGATGCTGCTTCTGATGATGGCGAAGGCCATCGATCTGTCTAAAGTTCACTAAGACTAAGACTTAGTGGTGGAGGTGTACTATCGGCCTGAGAAACCAAAGCCTTGTTCGACGCATCCGTGTTTCACTCGTTGAATATGGTTGCCCCTAAGGGTTCATGTGCCCACATA